CCCCCCAAACTCTTTCCCAGTCTCTCGTCCACACACAACAGATTAACTTCCTTTCTCTGCCAAGGGAATTCTTTGTTACACTGATTAGTCACAAGGTCTCAAATAGGAACAGAAAGCTATAGCACTGAATACTTCTTCCAGAACTCAAGACCTTATATTTACAAGCCCCTCCTCCCAATATCTGTTCCCTTGCACCTCTTAAAGGAGCTCAGTCACGGTATTTTGAGTTATTTTGGCCACGTACAAAATTACCTTAAAATGGTAGGACACCTGAAAATAACAGTTTAATAAGATAAATAAACACCAAAGAGATAATGATAAACCATAAAGAAACAAGGATGGCTAAGGATGGAGAAGATTAACACGGATTACAAACGACGAATTTGAAAAATTGAGGCTAAACTTTTCAATATGCGCAAACCGTGAGTGAGCTCCTTTAAGATGTATATCACAGTACGGGACTTAGCGAAAAAAGCAAGAACTACAAAAGAACCAGTGTTGTGCTTGGGTGTAAATAAATCAATCAGAGTTTCCTTGACAAGAAAATTTTGTCAATAAAAGAAAAGGTGTGTAAGTATTGGAGCTGCTGTAAATTGATTTGGTAACAGAGATGGAGTGTTTGGTACCTTTCATTGCTTGTAGGACCTCATCATCTGTTTCACCCAGTCCCAGCATCAAAGAACTTTTAGTCACCATGTTAGGCTGAATTTGCTTAACATACCTTAGCACCTCCAGGGACTGTCTGTAGTTTGCTCTAGGGTCATGCACAAGCCTTCAATAAAACAACAATCCATTAAACAATAGCACTAACAAGTACAGTCTCTTAGAAAACACTCCTAAGAAAATACGCGCGCTGATTGGTTAAAAATCGTGCTTCTATTTAGCAATTAGATTATGAGCTCCAGATTTCTATGAGGTGATAGTTGACGAGACCGAAGGCTGAATCAACTATCGCCTCATAGAAATCGAGAGCGAATAATCTAATTGTTTTAGTAGAATTCTAACTTAAATCAACACAAATAATGGTTTCCAAATATTTTTCGACGCATTATTGAACTTTACGCTTTAACAAAATCGCACGAATTGAATTGTCCTTGGTCAATTTACAGTTGTCTGTGCGTGCGCACCGGTTTTTCAATAATTTTAAGTTTTTAAAGTCAAGAATCTGTTAACGTCCTTCTTTTAGTCTTCTCAGGAATTTAATTATCCATTTACATCTTAACTTTCTTCCAAAACTTCGGAAAAACGTAAAAAACGTCGCATTTCGTGGACGGCCGACAGCTACTGCATTCTAATTAAACAATAGAGTGTTTTTGTCGAGGAACTATCGGCTGATAGTTGCCCCGCGGAAATTTGATGTTCTTAAAACAAATATTTGCCCTCGAAGCTTC